AGGGTTGTGAGTCAGGAGCAGGCCCTGAGGAAGGGGGAATGTGGGGTATGAGGGGCCTGGCCAGGGAAGGGCGTAGGGGCTGGTGGAGGGCAGTGCCGGGGCAGAAGCTCAGCTTGGCTCTTGGCGTGACGGCCTGTGGGTGGCCCCTGAGACCCTGTGATCCCCAGGCAGCCTTGCTGGCCGCAGGGCACCGCAGCTGTCAGCCCCTGGAACCCTGGCCTGCCCCCGTGCCCGGCAGGGCCAGCTGCTGGGCCCCACCCCACCCCCCCGTCTGCTCGAGGAGCAGGGTGAACCCCTGCCTGTGGTGCTTGCAGGGGTTTGGGGTGCAGGGAGCGCCCCACAGAGATGACCGTGGCCTTCTGTCACCTGACCTCTTGCTGGAGATGCTGCTCGCCTCAGTCCACGTCGCTGTAGTCCACCTCCTGTAGCTTGAGCAACAGCTGCTCTCGTCAGCGGAGCGCCTCAGGCTTTGAACTGAGAAGGGAGCAAGGCACTCAGAAGAGGTTTGTGTGAACTCTCTAAGAGGGAGTTGCGGAAGGCAGCAGGAGAAGCCTGGTGTGGGGCTGTACCTCCCCGCAGGTAGCAACTAAGCTGTAGCCTCTCACCTCCACAGCCCGTTGATGTGGCCACAAAAAGCTGAGTTTGAAGCCACCTGGGCCTGCTAGGAGCTGCAGGAGCCAAGCCTGTCCCTTCCCAGCTCTGGCTGAGGTGGAGCAGGAAGGCCATGCAAGCGTGAATGCAGCCTGTGGGGACACGAGCCTCCGAGCCTGCTCCTGGAGAGGGGAGTGTGCCCCGAGGACAGCCATGGAGAAAATGGCCAGGGTCACCACTGCCCTGGGGGGCAACGCCCTCACGGGACGGACCATGTTCTGCCACCTGGATGCCCCCGCCAATGCCATCAGCGTGTGCCGTGATGCTGCCCAGGTGGTGGTAGCCGGCCGCAACATCTTCAAGATCTACTCCATCGAGGAGGACCAGTTTGTGGAGAAGCTGAACCTCCGCGTTGGCCGCAAACCCTCCTTGAACTTCAGCTGTGCAGATGTGGTGTGGCACCAGATGGACGAAAACCTGCTGGCCACCGCTGCCACCAACGGCGTGGTCGTCACCTGGAACCTGGGCAAGCCGTCCCGCAACAAGCAGGACCAGCTCTTCACAGAGCACAAGCGCACTGTCAACAAGGTCTGCTTCCACCCCACCGAGGTCTACATGCTCCTCAGTGGCTCCCAGGATGGCTACATGAAATGCTTTGACCTGCGCAAGAAGGACTCTGTCAGCACCTTCTCTGGTATGAACACAGGCTGTTGCTTGTCCCCTTACCCTGCCCAGGTTTGCCCTCTCCCCATGCCCAGGAGGAGGGTTTGCTCAGAGCATGATGTCCACAGCAGGCAGGGTGGGAGCTGAGAGGCATTTTGGTACTTTTTTTTTGCCACTCAGCAGTGGGCTAGGTCTGCATAGGAGGTGGAAGGTGGCCGCATTGCTCCCTGATTCCCCTTCTTTCTGGGCTGGGGACCCCCATGGCTCTTCCAGTGGGGTTTTTAGCTTTGCTGGAGCTCTGTTCCACCAGATCTCAATTTCTGTCCCCACTCAGGCCAGTCAGAGAGTGTACGTGATGTCCAGTTCAGCATCCGGGACTACTTCACCTTTGCTGCCACCTTTGAAAACGGGAATGTGCAGCTGTGGGACATCCGCCGGCCAGACCGCTATGAGAGGATGTTCACGGCCCACAACGGGCCTGTCTTCTGCTGTGACTGGCACCCAGAGGACAGGTATGTGCAGGGCCAGACCCTGCCAGCCACCCAGCCTTGACAGAGACAAAAAACAGGGTTGGGACCTTGCCGGGGGAGGAATCAGGGTCTCTGATACCCTGGCCCCTTGTGTTAGGGGCTGGGCTATTGCTAGAAGATGAGAGCAATTATTGCTCTGAGGATTTGGGGGTGTGTTGGGGTGATTTGGTTTTGGTTTTTTGACAAATTGGGCGTTTCTGAGGCACTGGATTGCCAATGCTCAGGTGTAGCTAGCTGCTGTCTTGCCCCCTGTGTGAGGCAGCATCTTGCTCCAGTGCTCAACTCAGGGAGGGCGCTGCACGGCTGCTCAGGGATGGGGCTTGCTTGTGTTTGATCCCACTTCCCTCCTGCCTTGCCCTGGGGGTGGTTGCAGTGTGTCTGGAAACAGCTGTTGTGGTGTGCGGGTCCCTCCTCACTCCCTGTCAGGCAGTGCTTCAACTCCTCACCAGACAAGAGAGGCCCTGAAATACATTCAAATTGGCCTTTTTCCTCTTTGCTGTCCCTGGCAAGTGGAAAGCTGGAGTAGGGGGAACCAGTCTGGCTGGGAGCCCTTCAGATGAGTGTGGCTCTAAGGATGCAGGGGACAGGAAGGAGGGGTGTTGCCTGACCTGGTTATTGGAGAGCAGAGGCATTACGGTAGCACGTGGGAGGATGTGATTGCAGCCCAGCTACTTCCCCTTGGCATGGATGTGGTCACATCTGTGCTGTGAGTGTTTCTGTGCTGGGGTTGGAAAGGAGAGGTGAACGGGCAGGGATCCTGTTGTCTCACCATCTTCCTCCCCGCTTCTCCCAGGGGCTGGCTGGCAACAGGCGGCCGGGATAAGATGGTGAAGGTGTGGGACATGAACACCACGCGGGCGAAGGAGATTTACTGCGTGCAGACCATTGCCTCCGTGGCCCGGGTGAAGTGGCGCCCGGAGTGCAAGCACCACATTGCCACCTGCTCCATGATGGTGGACCACAACATCTACGTCTGGGACGTGCGGCGTCCCTTCATCCCCTCCGCCATGTTCGAGGAGCACAAGGACGTCACCACAGGCATCGTGTGGCGTCACCTCCACGACCCCTATTTCCTCCTGTCAGGCTCCAAGGACAGCACCCTCTACCAGCACATCTTCAAGGATGCCAGCCAGCCCATCGACCGGGCCAACCCTGAGGGGCTGTGCTACAGCCTTTATGGAGACCTGGCCTTTGCTGCCAAAGAGAGCCTCATCTCCTCCGACTCCAACCGCAAGCCCTACATCGGGGACCGGCGTCACCCCATCTTCTTCAAGCGTAAGCTGGACCCCACGGAGCAGTTTGAGTACATCTCCTCCTCCAGCGCCCTCAGCGTCTTCGAGTCAGACGTGGAGAGTGGCAGCATGGACTGGTTCGTGCACACCGCCAAGCAGTATGCACTGGCTGGCCGGCCCCTGGCTGAGCTCTGCGACCACAATGCCAAGGTGGCCAAGGGCTTGGACCGCAACCAGGTGAGGCCGAGGCTGGAGAGCTGCAGCGCAGAGCTGGGCCAGTGCCAAGGTTGGAAGGTGCTGTCAGGATGAGGCCCGCCACCCAAGCTGGATGGCAGTTTTCCATCCAGCTGTGGCGTCTGGCTGTCCCCAGAATCTGTACCTCTGCCTGGCACCAAACCCAGAATCACAGAATCATCAAGGTTGGAAAAGCCCTTGAAGCTCCTCCAGTCCAACCATTAACCCCACACTGACCGTTCCCAACTCCACCAGATCTGTCAGCACTGGGTCAGCCCGACTCTTCAACCCCTCCAGGGATGGGGACTCCCCCCTGCCTTGGGCAGCTGATTCCAATGCCCAACAGCCCTTTCTGCAAAGAAATGCTTCCTAATAACGAGTCTAACCCTGCCCTGGCACAGCTTGAGGCCATTCCCTCTGTCCTATTGCTCATTACTTGGTTCAAGAGACTCATCCCCAGTTTCCTGCACCCTCCTTTATGCTCTACAACATCCCTCCCAACACCCAGGGAGTTGTAGAGGGCCAGGAGGTCTCCCCTCAGCCTCCTCTTCACCAGACTAAACCCCCCCCGTTCCCTCAGCTGCTCCCCATCAGACCTGTGCTCCAGACCCAGCTTGTACTGCTGTTGTCTACAGCAAGGACAGATCGTTTCCCAGAAACCTGACCCCCACCGAGAGCCTGCCCAGCTCTCTAGATTGGCCTGGCAAAGTCTGACCGCAGCTGTGTCTCATGCAGGTGGCTCAAACGTGGACGATGCTGCGAATTATCTATTCCAGCCTCGGCACCGTGTCGTCCACTAACCTCAACCACAGCATGGGGAAAGGCAGCACTGCCCTCCCGCTCATGAACAGGTAAGAGGTGCTGAAGTGGCAGGGAATGACACGATGGCTGGGGCGGCTCTGTGAACGGGAGAGCAGAGACGGCTCCTCGGCTGGGCTGGAGTCACGAGGTGGGAGCAGGATGGCTCTCCCCCAGCCTCAGGCCGTGCTGGTTTGCAGGTTGACATTGTTTGAACACAGCCGTTTTCTGTGTGGCTGTGAGAAGCAAGTGGCCAGCCTGGCCTTGAGCTGTGCAGCCTTGTATGCTGCTCCCCTCCTTAAAACAAAGTTTGGAGCTGTGGTGGGGTGTGGGGCTGATACTATCTTTGTAGTTATTTAATTAGTGACTGTGACCAAGGGCTGGGATGGAGAACCCCTGTCTCACTGTGGAGAGGTCCTCTTCTGCTTTTGAAAGGGAGAGGACAGCCCAGCTCTGCGAGCAGCTTGCTGGGGTGTAGAGTCCCATCGTGGGCTGATGAAGCAGGAAAACTTGTTTTTCCTCTTCCCAATAACATAAAAGCAAGGGGTGAGGACTCCAAATTATCTGTCAGATCTTTCAGGGCTGGGTTTTCAGGGTGACTGGCAAATTCTCAAATAACATCAAAGAAAACTCTCCTTGACCAGGCTCTACATCCAGACAGGTCACTGTCTGCTGCTGACTTAAACAGCAGGCAGCAAGCTGAAGAGCTTGGCTCTGCTTCAACCCCATTCCCTTCCTTTTCCAGCTTAGTGAAGCCTGAGAGCAGTGATGCATAACAAACAGCAAAGCACCGTGTAGTGAGGCAGCTCCTGTTTACCTGCCTCTGAGGTGAAGGTAAATATTAAGACATGGAGTCAAAAGCCAACACTCAGCTCTGAAATCCTGTAGAAGGACCTTTGCGGGCACCTTCGTGGTGCATGTGTAGAGATGCCAGGCTTAGAGAAAGGGCTGTGTTAACAACTGCAGTGTATCTTTAAATTACAAAGTGAGGACAGCTGACTATTGAGCTCACGGGGAAAATCACCATATCTTGTGTTTCACTGTTCAAATTGCAACTGGAGACCTCTTTCCAGGCTGCTGGCTAGAACAGAAGCTGTAAACTTCTGTGACTATTAAATTTGGCTTCTTTCCCAGCTTTAACCTGAAGGACATCCCCTCTGGGCTGGGTAGTGAGTCGAGACTGGATCGCAGCAAAGGAGAAAGCCGCACAGAAAACATCCTCATGGATTCTTCCTCCACCCTGATCAACAATGAGGGTAATGTTTCTGGGGCAGCCCTGTGGCTCTTTCCTCCTCAGCAGTAGATGGCCCTGATATGGTATAAACTGGTAAATTTATCCTGTAAATTGGGGTGATTGGACCTGCTGCAGCCCCCAGGTGAAGTGTGCCAAGTCCAGGGATGTTGTGGAAGGACATTTTGCTGCCGTGACCCCCAGAGTGGTGGCTGTAGGTGCCAGTAATGCAACTACGGTGGGGAGCAGAGCTGTCTGGCTCAGACGCAGCCTGGCTTGCTGGGGCAGGACACGAGGGATGTGGATCCAACTGTATACCTGAGGGGGATGAGCTAATTTCTTTCTCCCTGGGCAAGCAGACAACGAGGAGACAGAGGGCAGTGATGTCCCTGCGGACTATCTGCTGGGAGATGTGGAAGCGGATGAGGATGACCTGTACATGATGGATCACGAGAACCCGCATGGTGAGCAAATGGCTGGTGCTAGGAGGTGTTGCCTGTCCCAGTCACATGGTTGGATTTTCTCCTGTCGTTCCCTACTCATTCCTGATCTGTCCTCACAGCTGAAGAGCAGGAATACAGCCTTCCCCAAGAAGCTTTCCCCCTGCGCCATGAAATCGTGGACAACCCGTCGGCCTTGGACCACCTTCAAGACAAGGCTGACTCTCCTCACGTCAGCGGCAACGAGGCCGAGACAGTGTCGCTGACACCCGTGGAGTCCTTCTCCCTCATCTCCATCTCCCACTCGCTCTATGAGAACCGCTTGCCCTCCGACTTCTTCAATCCCATCGTGCGAGACACGCTCCTCTTCTACGCCGAGCAGGGTGACGTGCAGACAGCTGTGTCTGTCCTCATCGTGCTGGGAGATCGCATCCGCAAGGAGATTGATGAGCAGACCCAGGTAGACCCCAGGAAGCCCCTTCCCGGCTGTGCCAGGACTGAACCCTCCCTTCAGGGCTGGTGCAGCAACCCCACGAGCTGCAGTAGGATGCCTCGGTGGGATCCAGAGGTGGCGTATCCCAACACCATGGGATCTCATTGGGCTCTGGGCACCTCCAGGACCCCTGGTACCCAGCTGGCTGCTCTACCACAATCCTGGCAGGGACCTGAAGGGTGTCTGCAGGGCCAGCATGGGGAAGCAGCCTTGGCCTGTTGGTCTGGGGAAGGACACCTCTTCCCCAGCCCTGCAGAGCAGTTCCTCCGCTGCAGGGATCTTGCCTTCGGGATGCAGGGCTGGGATCCTGAGGGGGTTGGAGGGGGCGTTGTGGCTCAAGTGTCTGTGGCCATCCCCAGGAGCACTGGTACACGTCCTACATAGACCTGCTGCAGCGCTTCCAGCTCTGGAACATCTCCAACGAGGTGATCAAGCTGAGCACATGCCGTGCCATCAACTGCCTCAACCAGGCCTCCACCACCCTGCACGTCAACTGCAGCAACTGCAAGCGGCCCATGAGCAACAGGGGCTGGATCTGCGACAGGTGAGGGCAGTGCTTCAGGCAAGGAGCAGGCAGCAAGGTAGGGCACCAGGCTGTGGTCACCAAGAGGAGTCCCAAAGGGGCTGCAGGGGCAGGAGGATGGGGTTGGTGCCTGCCTTGGTCCTCCCTTGCTGTCCGCCCAAGGGTTCTCATGCTCACCCCCTTCTCTCCGGTGCAGGTGTCGGCAGTGTGCCAGCATGTGTGCCGTCTGTCACCACGTGGTCAAGGGGCTCTTTGTCTGGTGCCAGGGCTGCAGCCATGGCGGCCACCTCCAACACATCATGAAGTGGCTGGAGACCAGTTCCCACTGCCCCGCCGGCTGCGGCCACCTCTGCGAGTACACCTGAGCCCCTCGCCGGCCGGGGGAGACGGCGGGCAGCGGTGGGAAGGGTAGGCAGAGGTCGGTAGGGCAGGTAGGGCCTCCTCTCTGCCTGCCCTCCCCACACCTCCCTGCCTGTATTTATTTTTGTGTAAATAGGGGCCGTGCCTGGCACCCAGCCCTCTGCCCACCCCTTTTGTACTGGATTAAAACAAAACAGAGCAGCTGAACTGCATCGTGCCTCTTGTCTGTGCTTAACGTGGCAGCAGCGGCCCCCGGGGAAGGTTCGGGCCTCCGGGGGGCGGAGCTCAGCCCCCGGGCGGGGAGCGGAACCGGGAAGCTGTGGGCTCCGCTTTGCCTGTGGCCCCTTTAAGCTCTGGCCCGTGCCGGCACCCGTAGCGCCGCGCCCAGCCAATAGCAGTGTGCGGCGGC